TATCTCTGAGGGGCTGCAAGGACAATGAAGGCATGGAGCAGATGTTGCCTTTTGGACACACATCTGCACAGCTGCCAACTGGGCTGACTCACAGCACCAGACTTCAGGAAAACCACTGGTATCCAGCACAGCCAGTGCTTGCCCGTTTGTCTGAGACGAGCGTGAGGGATCCAGCAGTGCAGGGTGTCAGCCCCACTGAGCACATTTTGGATTTGGCTTGTGCAGTGCCTGAACCACTCTAGACATGGGGAAGAGCAGGGGAAAATAAGATTTCTTACCCAGTCAGGATGTGCAGCCTGGTTCTGTTGGGACCCTCGTGTGTGTGCTTCCAGAACAAGGATGGAAGATTGTGTGTTTTATGGTTTGTGGTTCCAGAGTGGAGACACAGCTATGCCCAAGGTGCCACTAACAGCTGCAGGGTCACCGAGTGCCTGTCACAAGAGAGGAAATCCAAACTGACTGTGTGTGTGTAACCCCCATCTTTACTTGTTATTGTCATGTCAGCAGGTGTGTGACTGTTGGCCATTCCCATCCTCAGCTGCTGAGTGCAGCTTCCTCCTGGGATGTGGTCATGGCACCAACACATCCATGGTTCAGGGATGTTGGCATTCATGGGATTGGAAACTGGCCCAATGCTCTTCAAAATAAAACATGTAACAATCTGCCTTGTCTTGATCTTTAGATTGAAGACATGATAAATGAAGTAAAATTCAGCAAGTATGCAGAGACTGGAGAAGAAGTGACAAAAATCAATTTAGATGATTTTATCAAACTTTATATAAATCATCGACCTGCACTTGGCTTGTCAATGAAAACCATACAACAAGCATTTCAGGTTCTTGGTTATGATAACAAGAAGGGAGACAAAGTTATTGACAGAGGAGACTTCCTATCACTGCTTCAGTGCAGAGGTGAGTTATTTTGTTTCTAATATCAGTTTTATGCTTGCTAGTTCTGCTGGCAATTTCAGAACCTCTTCCCTGCAGCAAGAAATTATCCTGGAATGAGAACCTGGTAACCAGGGCAGGCGTGAGGAGCCACCTGCCTTCAGATTTTAAATTGAATAATCACATGTCTTGTCCCAGCTGTGCTTCTTTTACTGCTCTGGAAATCTCTGCTGGCCTGAGGTATCTCAGCTGTTAAATGATCAGTATGGATCTTGGCAAAATGTATCCTTCTCCCAGTGTGCCCTTATCTGAATTGCTGTTTTCTCTTCCAGTCACACAGGCTCTGGAAAAGTAGTATAAAATGGATAAAGGGGACACAAGAAAGGAGGGATGAAATTGGTCCTAGGCTGCACCCAGTGTGAAAGACTGAAAAGATGGGATGATTCAGTTGAGCTGAATCAGGGAGAACACCATAAACGTGGGTGTTAATTTGCTTGTGGCCAGTGCCATAGAGTGCTAATAACAAACTTCTGTTGTCTTACTTCTGGTGTAAAAGTGTAGCCGAGCATTAAAACAGGTAAAGGGAAATGCTGATTTACTCAGTACATCACTTGGCAAGACTCCTTGCCACAAAGATCCTTGGAAACCATGGATTCAACCAGTGTGAGAAAGGTTAGCTATTTATACAGATGGTGTGAACATCCATAAATAGGTACATCAGATAGAACAGTTTCATAACAGATCCATAACCTCATGCTCCAGGGCGTGAGCCAACCACTAACTGGGAACAAGTGCTATGTCCATGTTATTTCAAGATACTAAATTAAGACTTTTCTCCACCTTTCTCTTCCTCTGCATGAAAATGGCTACATGGACAATGTCTCTGCCAGGAATTCTCCAGTGGGAATAGAAGCTCAAGCCCCTGCTACTGCAATGTTGCTTAAAGAGCAGCCTGAATAATAATCTCTTCTTTTGATTGACATTTTTCCCCAAAATGCTATAGAGAAGACAATTTTCCTTAGGATCAACATTTTCCTGCATTGGAATCATGTGTTTCAGTTGGCACTGTATATGTCTCTATCTCAGAGAAGCCAGATCCTCTTTTGAACTGTCCTGTTTAGTTTAATTGCAGTTGCTTTTGAGTTTTTGTGCTATTGACCCCATAACCCAAGGGGTGGTGGTGCTCCGTTTTGTACAGGGGAGCAGATGACAGAGGACGAGCTGGCTGAGTGTCTGACCACCCTGCTGGGCAGGAGACCCAGGAAAGAAGGATCTGAACTGGACACCTGCGATCCCACAGGTACAGGATTAGCATTCCACACAGCACAGAAGCAGGATTGTTTAATTCCCAAATGGAATAATTTAAATTTCAAACCCATTTACCCTGTTAGGCCAAGAGCTGTCAAAGCTGCTCAGATGGGATTGCACAAATAGTCACAGAGCTACAGACTGTCCTTCATCCACGCAGCAATTGCATGGGTGTATCTAAAAATAAATGGACAATGAACTATAACTGGGGCCTGACAAGATTACATTGCTGTTTATCTGCTGGCTGGAACTGAAATTAGAAACACACAGGGAAATCCCAGGGCTGGTTTCACCCAGGCCGCAGTGCCCATTGTAACAGAGCTGCCAGTAACAAGCGCATTTGTCTGCAATTTATGTCCCAGTCCACACCAGTCTGGAACAGCAAATTATAGCACTGATTTGAGCCAAGAGGCTGAATTTAATTGCCCATTGTAATTGGAACTGCATTTTTGTACAATTCATGTCCCAGTCCCCACCAGTTTGGAACAGAATCTGTTTAGGGTCACTGGCAATGGGCGCCATGCAGCAAAGGTGCTGCTCCTGAAGGGAACTTTGAAATCCCTGGAAACCTCAGGATCCTAAATCACATCAAATCGACCAAGTGTTAAAGTTGTCCCATGACTCCTCTGAGGCAGGGACCTGCTCCAAGGTGAGACACACAGATTTGACAGGTTTAATTCCTGATAGAAACACATAAAGTATCAAGCTAGTAAACCGTCACTTTGTTATGATCCCTTCGTATATCTTTAAAAACATTTCATTCACTTATTGCTGTTTATAAATTTTACTGGAGAGCAACTTTGACATTGCTCCTGTGCGTCTTGTGATGTTGTTACTGCTCTCCAGGTGCAGCAGCTTTGACTGAAGAAGAAATTCCAACAGAAATCACAGCAGAGATATTTGTTGCCGACATTCTTGGCTTACCTATTGCTGAACCAGAAAAAAAGAACAGAAGGAAAAAGAAGAATCTTTGATCTACAAAGGCGCAGAATCTAGCTACCACTAGATTTTCTGTTTATTCCTACTTCCCAGGATCCTCTCCTCAAATATCTGCAAAATGCCATTATGGCTTGTGTTTATTGCAAAGTAAAGGTCACATAGTTGCATTTCAGTCAAACTCTAGAGTAAGTCCCCAGTTTGGGCCATGCCACAAACCTGTAATTTCACACCTATATAGGGAAACACTGAATGGCTGGAAAGAATGAAGCAGGTGGCCACTCCATCCTTGGCTGGAACCTTCCCAGAAGTCATTTCAGGTGGGTTTATGCCAGATGCAGTCTATTTTCATTACGTTAAGACAGTATTCATTTGTGAAACCTGACAGCAAAAGAGCAATGTAAGAGTATTGTATTGATTAAATACATTGATAAATCCTTTGACAGGTTAGAATGGATTTGTAATTATAAATCCAATGGACCTCAGTAAAGAAATAAATGCTGTGGTACACATTAAAACCACGCTTCTCTTTTGGCCTTTAAACTGACTTTTTCTTTCTGAAAGTAGTGATTCCAATTAGCAGTATAATACCAATGGGATGGCATTACTCTGTGTGTATATAAACAGCATAATGAGACTGATACAAGTTGCTGCAGAAAGATCAGTGAAGTGCTGTTGAACAGCTTCCTTCTTTACATCATCCTTGGCATCAATTTGAATAATAATGTAGGCCCTTAAGAAGCGTTCCTTTCAGAAGCAATGTTTTTTAAACAGAGATCGCTGTTGTGTACTCAGAGCATCTGTGATTGTACAATTAGCACGAACAGCAAGGTGTGCATTAGGGAGAAGTTAATGAAGGAGTCCAGCAGTACCACACCAGAGCTCGCAGGTCTGTGACAAATTTCCTGCAGAGCATCACCTCCCATGTAACTCATTTAGCCTTTATGCTCATGTACTTCCATGGATCTCTGTCGGAGCTCAGCCTCCGCTGCTCAAAAGCAGCCCAATTCCATGGATATTGCTGGAATTAGTTAAAGCAGCTGAGAAACTTTATAACCACTGGGGAAACAAACCTAAAATCTGCTAATTATGGATTTATGCTTCGTGTAAAACAGGGGACTTCATCACCCATACCCATGTTCAAGGTCTGTCACGGCAACTGGTGCAAGGATAGGATGGGTGTTTGTCACTGCCCTGTACAAAAATAGGTATTATCTCTATGTAAAGTGCTTTGAGGTTTGTAAAAACCCTGGATTTTAGGACTGGATTTTACTTTGTGGTAAAATGTAACTGTGCTCGTGATGCTGCTAGACTGCATTGGATTATCGCAGAATCACGAGAATCAATTTGGTTGTTAAAGATCTCTGGGATCCAACCCTTGACCGGTCACCACCTTGTCAACTAAACCACAGCACCAAGTGCCACATCCAGTCTTTCCCTAAAGGAAAGGCGATTACACCGCCTCCCTGGGCAGCTCCTGATGACCCTTTAGAGTGGAGGCGAGCTGAAATCGGATAAACTTTTTAGTTCTGGGGTAACTTACGGCCTGAGCTGGGTGGGAGTGGGGAAAGAACGTTGTCTTGTGGTTGCTCCAGCGAACGCTCGAGGAAAACCAGCGACGGGAACTCTGGAAGCGCACGGGGCGGGCGGCCGCCTCCGGGTTCTCCCCCGCGGGGGCTCCTTCCCGCCCGGTACCTCCTCCGCAGGTCCCCGCGGTGTCCCCTCAGCCCCGCCGGCCTCACGGGGGTCGGAGCCCGCTCCCCTCCCTCACGGCCCCGCCGCTCTTCCCGCCACCCGCCGTCCCCTCACGGCGCCCGCCCCGCCCCTCCCCTCCCCGCCGGCCGCGCGCGTGCGCGGAGCGCGGGCCCCGCCGGGCGGGCGGGCGGAGCCGAGCGGAGCCGCCGAGCGCAGCCGTGCCGAGCCCCGCGCAGCCCCGGCATTGTGCGGGCGGGCGCCCCGACACACGGACCGAGCCGCCGGCCGCGCCGAGCGCCGCGTTCCCCGCCGAGCCCGCCGCCCCCCAGCAGCATGTCGGGCCGGTCGGTGCGGGCCGAGACCCGGAGCCGGGCGAAGGATGATATCAAGCGGGTGATGGCGGCCATCGAGAAAGTGCGCAAATGGTGAGCGGGCCGCGCCGCGCCGGGACCCCGCGCCCGCGTCCCCCGCGCCCCGCGCCGGCCCCGCGCGGGTCCGGGGCTCGCCGGCGGCCGCGGGGGGCGGGGAGCCGGCGGCACCCAGCAGCCATTTCGCTCCGGCGAGTCACATGAAGGCGGCGGCGGCGTGTGAGGGCGAGAGGCGGCTCCATTGTGCGGCCGAGCCCCCTCCCCGCCGCCCCCCGCCGCTCCCCGCGGACCCCGGCCCGCCGCCCCTCGCCGCGGGTCCCGGGCCGGGCGCCTCGGGCATGGGCGGGCGGCGGGGTCGGGCCGGGCGCCTCCCGCCGCCGGCCCCTACAAAGGGCCCGAGGAGCGGGCCCGGGGTGGCTCCGCCGCCCGCTCTTCTGGGTGGAAATAGTGCTCAGAGAAGTGTTCTGGAAAAAAAGAAAACGCCTTAAGAATACCCCTCTGAAGCTCCCGAGAGTTTATTTTTTGTCGTTGCCTGTTTATGGATTGATTTCACCTCCCGAGTTCCCGGGGTTTGTGCGTAAAAGCGCAGCAAATCCGAGCGCGATCGTCTCCCACTGACTCTCCGGGAGAGAGCGCGAACTGCCCCTGGAACCTCTCTTAAATCATAAAATTAAAGGTTATACCCCGTGTGAAGTAAGTCCCTTTTGTTAGGCCTTCAACGCGTTTTGGCATTACCCCGCTTTTGTCTTTTTTTCCCCTGCTTTTGTTAGAAAAACCCACACGAGGTCTTTAAACAATACAGTACAGCGGTCGCGCCGTGCTCTGCATGGTCGGTCCGGGGATTTGGGATGGCATAAAGAGCAGTGCCGGTGTGACTCAAGAGTGAATCTTTCTTCCAGCAAGTTGCCTGACTGTTCAGCAGTCTCTGTGCATGTATCTTAAAATACTTCCTTTAAACATTTGGAATCCACGGGGAAATTCCCTTGCATTATTGTTACTGTGCATCATTCAGCTGGTTTGCAGGTTTGAAATCAAGGGGACACTTCTATTGTCCTCCGCACCTAGCGCTTTGTTTTCGTTAAAAAAAGAGCCAAAGATAGAGTTGAACGTGTTCGTATTAGAGTGAAGTGGATTGTTAAGTTTTAAATGGCCTTGAGTACACGGATGTGCCCTTTGGCGTGAGCCAGACAAAGAATCGGGACCGGGACGTGTGTCCAGGAGCAGCGGGCACGGGATGGGGATTTCAGAGAATCCAGCCTTTGTGTAGGGAGCCGGAGCAGCCCCAGCTCCAGCTCGGGTGGTTTCAGGAACTCTCTTCTCCTACTCCGGTGTTGTTTTTAAGTGCAGTTTGCTGACTGCTGGGCAGGCTTTGGAAGGTCAGAACAATGTGCAGCGGTGTGACAGGACTTTTGTTCCAGCCGGAGCGTGGTTGGATGTGTGGGACTGTTCTGTCTGTAGGTATTTCATTCATGAGCTCTGCACGCTCCCTTTGAATCCTGGTTCGTGGAATTCAGAGAGGAGTAGAGACAGAAGCTTGGCCATTCAACAAAATACCTAATTTATTTATTTTTTTCTTGGCAAGGACTCTCTGCCATCATGCCAGTTGCTATGGCTCTTTCTGTAAAACAGAAATCTTATGGTATAAATAGATTTCTCTACATTTTAACCTTCACGATAGACAATTGCTGTAGAGGGTTCCTGTACAGTCATGCAGTGTTTCTGTTGATTATTGTCAGAAGTATCAATATGTCTTTTTGTGTGTGCACCTCACAAGTATTTACATAAAGCAAATTTCTTATTTTTAAAGGAATAATAATTTGCAGTTGAATCTCATGGTTACCCCCCTCCACCTGAAGTCAAATACAGCGGGAAATTAGCTAGAGAGATTCTGTGTTTTGTGGTTTCAGTGTTTTGAGAAGACTTGGCTTGTTAAATTGAACTTTCCACACTAGCAATTCCTGCATCTTCAGAAGAGCCACATCGGCAATTTCCAAGTGTGCAGTTTCATTTGCATAATAGGAGCAATTTGTTGCCATCCACAGCTCTTCTGTGGAAATGCAGCCACTGAAAATTAAAATACCTTGCGTCCAGCATTTCCTAGAAGAGAGTTTTGTGAGACTTGTGTGCTCAGAGCAGTGTGTGCCAGGGATGGGCAGGGAGACAGATGGGGCTGGAAACTCATCCGAGCGGAGGATGGCTTTTTCCAAGGCATCATCCACCTGTGCAGGTGTGCAGCACCTCGCTGTGCTTGGTGCTCCTGAATCCCTGTGCTGCCACAGGGATGTGAATGTGCCTGCTGGAATGCAGCTTCCATCAGGGCAGACTTTGTTCCTCAAAAAATCAGTGTTCCTGGATAGCCAGCACTTGGATGCAGGTCCTCTGTCTTCCTGTCTGCTCACAGAGCACGTGGCGCTTCTGGTTATTGCTGGAACTTAGTAGTAAACAGTGAAGTTGTTATGTTTTTATCGTGAGATTACTGTAACCTTATCTCCTTTGTTTAAACCACGCTCATGAATGAGCATCTGTTTTGGAAAACACGCAGCACGTGGCTTACAGAATACATGGTTGCCTTGTGTTTGTGTGGCAGAAATGTTAAATTTCCACAGTAAGTGAACAATTCTACCTTTCTTTAACAGTACTTAAAATTCTTCTGTCAGTCTATTTTCATAAAATCATCTGAGATTACTTTGTCTCAATTAATGGTACAGGATTGTTTTTTTGTCTTTAAAAGTTGATGGGTACATGTAGATTCCAAGTGGGCTCTCAAGAAGAGAGGGACAAAAACTATTGTGCCCTCAACCAGTACTAGAAAAATACTGAAGACACTCTTGTTTTTTGTCAAAGTCTGATTTATTAAATGGGGGAAAATACAGACATCTATTCAGAGACAAGGAATGAGAAGGAGGAAAGCATAAGTGGTAGGATGTCTTGGGAGGCAGTGAAATAATTTGTATGGGTATATAGCACTGCTGGACTTTAGGACAGCTGAGCAAACATGTAAGGATGGAGGTCTGGAATAGCTGGTGGGGATAGGTAAGCCTGACTTCAGAGAATGCGCCAAGAATCAGAAATCCCACTGTGTTCCCTTCCCTTTGAATTGCAGTATTTCTTGGGAGTCCTTTGACCTTTTTCTGACCCATCAAAGCCCTGATCTGTGGGGAGTGATAACACCTTAGGAAGAAGAGGTAAACTTGGACAACTGGTGAAAGTACCTGGAGAAAGTTGAGGGGAAAAGTCCCCACAGGCTGTTTTACCTGGTGCCATTGGCTGGGATCCTGAGCTGTGACTATTTAGGATTTCTAGGCAGTGCTGCTGTAGCTTTTCTGTTCACTGTCTCCATTCAGACTTGCTAAAATGCTTTTGTGTGGTATGCAATGCTCCAAGATTGAGTTTCTGCAGGTTTTGCTGCTTGTGCCTCCTTCTTCAAATAGTCTTTCACTCTGAAAAGGAGTCATGACACAGAACTCCTTAACATGTTGTCTTTGGGAAAAGGCTGTTTGCTACTTCCAGATCACCTCCCTGCTTTAGCCAGTCTGTGTTGGGTTTTCTCATAAGACTGTAGTTGAAGTAGTGATGGTTGAAGTAAAAATACCCAGTGTATGTGCAGGAATGCACTGAAGTTCTGTAGTGACCCAAACACGCTGTTACCATGCTTGAATTATGATACCTTTCTTTTTCCTGGCTTGTGATTATTTCTTGGTGAGCCAGGATATGCTCTGACTTCAGTGGAAGCTGAAGGTAGAGTTCTGGCATGTGTGAGCCATGGTTCTCTCTGCTGTGAGCAAGGTGCTCGTGGCCACATGGAGCCAAGCAGGGCTTAATTTAAGCCGTGTGTACACTACAGGGGACTCCCTGCGTGTGCTGTACTTAGATAAACCCAGAGGGAAGGTGTCTGTGACCACATGTCCTTGTCCAGTCTCTCTACATGGCATTTTATTGTTTTTGCAGCCTGTTCAATAAACACCATGTGTGTCTGGGGCTCCTTCACGTTAGTCACTAGACAAACATCTACTCAGCAGTAGGCGTGCTCGGAAAAGCAAGCCTACACTTCACAAAATCAGTTTTTGTGCATCTGACAGCACTTTTTGTGTATAATAATGGCATATTCTTTCCCATCCCCTCTCTCTTTTGCTTGATCCCACAGGGAGGTCATAATTCTGTGATTTTCACCAAACTCTGTTGCAATGCAAGTGAGTGTGATGTGATAAATTCAGCATTATGACGTCACTTCGTGATCACCAGCAGAAGATGGGGTATGTGGGAGCAAATCCGTGTGTAAATGCAGATCACTGTGATGAATGGTAGTCATGGGAAAAGGCCAGACAAGTGGGAAAGCCTTTCCTTGAGTGATATATTGGCAGTAAAGGCTTTCTGTGTCTCTGCCATCAAATGTTTCTGGCACTCACTGCTGCTGCAGAAGCTGCCTTGACACTTTCTGTGTAAGTGTAATATACACTGTTGTGTTTGCTCGCCCGTATATTACTTTTACACGTGGAATCTGATGTTCATCTGTGGAGCTTTAGTGTTATTAAACAAAGTATAAATATACTTGAAAGTCTTGGGTTATTTAGAATGGGGAATTGAGTATATAATGATGTAAGTTCTGAGATATTAGTATGCCTTAGGCATAAGCACTGAAGAAGTGTTGATACTAATGGTTACCCTTTGTACCCTTGGCTGTCCTTTAAATACTTTGCAGATATAGTTCAGAATTTAAAAATGCTTTTACACAATTTCAGATAAATGTAAGGGCTTTTTTTCTGTTGCACTGATTAGTTTCTGAATTTACTATAAGTGAAATATTGAAGGTACTTCTCAGTGTGGAAGATTAAAAGAAAAAATATTATTGTATATATTTCAGTTTTGCCATTTTCTGTTGTTACTCCTGAGTCGTGGAGAAGCAGGAGAGCTTTGAAAACAGGCAAAATGGGTTTTTTTGTAAAACCGTGGAGTTATCAGCTCGACATGGACAAGTAAAGGTGATAATTGCCACATTTTTAGCCTGATAGTGTTAGGTTGATGGTGTTCCATTAGCCATGTTTTCCAGTCCAACAGTCAACACAGAGACCAACCTACAGAGAGTAACAGGGGATGGTGCAATAGCAGATATTGCTCATTCATCACTTATCAAAGGTGGAATTGAATGATGGGGGTGGAATTCTGGTCAGGATCTTGAGGTGGGTGGGTGCAGCAGACAGGTGAAGGAAAACAGGTGAAGAAACTATTTAAGGTTTCACAACAGTCTAAGCACAAGAGTTCATGAGTTCCTCATTCCTGTTCCAGCACTGGGCCAATGAGGATCTTCTGTGATTTGTGCAGCATGTCCCAAACTTGCTGCCATGGGCAGCATCAGTAAATTGTCAGTTCTCACTGAGTGAAAAGGAAGGTCCCTGATCAGCAGGTTGGGATGGTGTCTTTGCACAAAAGATTAAAAAGTGAGTTTTCAGAGTAGAAATGGGTTTGGGGTTTTTGTTTGCTTGTTTGGATTTTGGGTTTTGTTTTGAAATGGTAAGGCAGTAAGTATTACAGATAATATTCTAAGCTTAATTTGCAATAATGTCATAAATCTTGAAATTATTGTACCCTGTTGATCTTAAATGTCTGAAAGTCATTGCATTTCTTTGTTAACAAATTTGTGTTTGTGCTGCCAATGCTTTTATTAAGTTTTTGAGTAGGTTGTCTTCTTTTTTTCTTATTAATACTTTCATGGTCTTATACTGTCAATACTGTAAATACTTACACAAGTAAAATATTTGCATAATAGCACTGTGATGTTGGGTTTTCTGCCATAAGTGTTTGCAGGACTGGGATGTTGGTGTACTTCCATCACAAAATATTCTTATTCCCATTGTTGTCTGAATTACTGTGTATTGAAATCAGTTAAAAATTCCCTAGAGCTGAGGGTTATCAAAACTTCAAGTGGTAAGAAGCTCAGAAGAGTTAAAATGTCAGGGCTAACTTTAATACTAGAAGGAAAAAGTTACTAATATAGGTTTCCTCCTGTGTTCTACAGTCTGTCCAGTGAAGATGCTGTGTGAGGCTGCTTTGAGATGCTAACAGGTATCTTGAACTTTTGGTTTTCCAGTGCAGCATCTCTAAGTAACATTTTGCTGTAGGAAAAGACTAAAATCTTGATTTTTTTAAAAAAAGCATTTATTCACCTCTCCCCACACCCAAAACAAAACCCCAGCTGGTTTTATTTCCATTATTTCAAAGGTTTACTTAAGTAGAAATAAATCTAATTTGTCTTGTATCCTTAAAAAACCCCAAATTATATCATGATCATCTCTTCACAATTAAGTATGCTCTCATTATTGACATGCCCTCATCTCCACTGTCATTTTTATCGCATGTAGAGCTCCAAATTAGAGTGAAATTGGATTTTGACATATTTAGCCACCTAGTGTACCCAAATGGCTGTGCCCAAACAGATTGAGGGAACACTGCTCCATGAAGAGCAGTGGGAAAGAAATTAATTTAAAATAGTTTTGGACTTCCAATTAAAATATCATGGACAGGGCCAAAATGTATCAAATACATTTATATACAATTTAGTTTTGCTTTTGTTCTTAATTAAACAGGAAAATGCCTCTTCTAAAGGGAAAATATAAGATTGGCTTTAGTAGCTAAAACAAATAGGAGGATGTTTGTGACATTTGCACAGTGTGGCTGCTTTTGATTCTGGAGGCCCTTTCTAAAAATGGAGCTATCACATATATATATAAATATATATATTTGGAGTCACATCCAGCTTCTCCCATCCTGCAAAGAACATTTTTTATTTTTTTAATCTATAACTGGATCCCAAATCTATTATTTAAATGTATTTATGGGGAAAAAAAAAAGCCTGAGATCTCATGCCAAATTAATTTCAGATGTTCCTGAATATTTAATGGAATTGGTCTTTGTTGTTAACTTTTAATCGATCCATTTGCAGAGCTGCATTGCAAACCCAGGAACCAGCAGTGGTAATCTGTGACCTGAAAACTGATCCCAGAAACGTGACGAAATTTCTCTGGCATTGTGGACCTTCTTTAAATCCCTGATGTGCAGAGCTCAAGGAGTGCATCCCTCAGCATCCCTCTCCACCCCAGCCCTGGGAGCCCCGAGGCAGAGCCACCCTGCAGCCACATGTCCTTCACCTTTTGTCAGTGTCAGCACTCACTGGCAGGAGCTGCTCACAGCACCCCAGGCTGTGCTTTCCCCTCTCTGCCAGGCTCAGCCTTGCCTTTCCCAGAGCTGGGCTCTCCAGAGTCTGCATTCTGCACCACAGCACTGATTGCTCCCCGTGAGGCTGTTGGTCCTACAGCTGGAATTGCAGAGCTGTCTGTCAGGGGTGTGGAGTGAGCATTAAATTGCCAGCAGCAAATTTCTGGCCCACAAATATACCTCAGATGGTCAAAATGCATCTAGATTTCTAATCCCATTAAACAGCTTCATGACAATCAAAACACATTGGTCTGTCTAAACACTCTTCTGCTCTCTAGAAACTTAAGTGAAAATTGTAGGCATTAAATCTGCATTTTCAATTGCTGTTCTTCTTAACTTTATCTTTAATCCAGATCTTATTACTGCTACTGCAGTTACTCACCCAGTCAAGTAACAGCCCTGAGAAATCTGGAGGTTAGCAGTGCTCTAGCAAGTTGTGAAATGCAAAGAACAATTTGCACAACGCAGTGCTAAAGACAATGTAATAGAGATCATCCTACTTAATAGCCTGTTTAAATTCTTGACAACTTACAATAGTAGATCACTCTCTTCTGAATCTGAAGTTTAACTTCTCCTGCATTGTAATTTTGTAGGGAGAAGAAGTGGGTGACAGTTGGCGACACATCCCTAAGGATTTACAAATGGGTACCAGTAACAGAGCCTAAAGTGGATGATGTAAGTATCCTGCAGTATCTTGCTTTTTCCAGATGTAGATGCTCCTGTTTAGACAAAGTAGAAAGAAATACTCTTTGATTTTCATTGAGCCTTTAAGCTAAGATTGGTGTGGGTCTTGGAAGCTCCAGGGGGATGTTGATCTCTACAGCAAGTGATGTTGATGGGTGAGTGTGTGACAGTCTGCCTGGAGTCAGCTGAGATCAGTTCTCAGATAACTGTTAAACATGCAGCTGAAACTGAGTTTGAAATCTTTCTCTAACTAACTGGGAGGCAGGGAGGGAAAGTTATGACATGGATTATTTTTCCCTGCTTTCTGCCTGGTGATTTAAAGAAAGCAGCTGGTTTGGAACAGGGCAGAGAACATATTCTATGTGTGCATCACTGCTATTTTGCTCAAAACTGGGTGGAAAACAATTGACATGAGTGTAGGAATATCCTTTGGAGCTGGGATCACTTGTATTAAGATGTCCAGCCAAATAATACAGCAGCACACGCTTCTCTTGTCACGTGTGTTGTCTCTTGATAAATGTTCTGTCTGTGCATCCTGTTTATGTTGTGTGCACTGTTGGTGTGGCGTAAAAAGAAGTGTGAAAATCAAAGTTGATAGGACTTAAAAATTGTTTTTTAAAATGATCGTTATAAATTGTAAGAGAACACTAAACCATGATACCAGAGTAAATTAATGATGCAATAAAAAACATATCCTACATTTGGCACTCTTCCCTTGGGCTGTCATGTGCTTTTACTCAACCTGAAATATGAGTGCAGACCTATTTGGAAAAAAACTTCTGTATTAATAGATGTGTAAAATGGTGGTTTTTCAGACAAGACAGTGTCATGACCTTGTCTTACTCAGACTCCAAATTTAAGACCCTTTTTTTAAATTAGGATTGCTTTAACTGAGTTTGTTTCTTTCCGTGCTTTGGTTGTCCCACGGATTTCAGGGACTGTCAGAGTTGTGGTAAACCTCAGGGGTTCTTCCAGTGCTTGGGCAGCATCTCTGTGAAGTTCCCTCTTGGGAATTGGGAAACCTGTCCATTCTTCCTACTTGTCAAATGTTTGTTCTTGATTTTATTATTTATAGTACATAGTGGGGAAAATTGTGCTGTCGAAGGGAGTGCAGGGTTTAGGATATTTAGGCTCAGGGCTTCTGGCAGTTGTTTTCCTGCTGTTCAGCTGTGCCTGCAGGATGGGTGCTGTGGGACTTGGAAACAGAATTTCTAAGTGAGCTTCTGGAGGAATTTTCAAGGTCACTGCTACCCAAAGTCAGGTTGTCTATTACTAAGAATGGGTTTATATAATGGTTTCTGTGTGCAGAGTTTAATTGTGTTTTCTAAGCCATCATCTCTCGGTTGAGGCTCCAGATTTGCTGAAATTGGGACACTTGTTTAAGACCAGTTATGCTGGTGTCCTACAGTCATGTTCTTTTTATTTCAAGTAGAGGCTGTTGAGCAGCTGCAGTTTCAGTTCAAGCTGTTTCAGGCTTGATGTTGGCAAGGTTTCTGTCCTGCAGCTCTGGAAGTTCTCACAAATCACACAAGCACGTAGATTTTAACAGTAAGTACCAGATAGGGACAATTTTTTCTATTAAAATTTGTTGTGGATATCTTTTTATATGAAATTTCATCCACTCTGAAGGACCAGACAGTATATTTGCTTTTCACTAAAACAGGAGAATGGTGCCTTCCCCTATTTCAAATGGAAGTTGTCTTTGATTTTGGTGAACAGAAATTAAATTACTCCCCCCCCTCACATGTTGCTCCTTAGACACTTTGACATTTCTCTGCACTACAATTAGCTTGGCTCTTTCTCCTGGTTGTGGAAGGCTGTTCTGGAACCTCACCACTCTGATGGTTAAACCTCTTTAAAAAACACCTGTCAGCTTAAATTGCTCACAGTCACTTCCAGAGTTTCTTTTGTAGCAAAAGTGTTCTTTTAACTTTAATAAACAACAAAACCAGACCTGAGAGAGATCATGACCCCTCTGACCCCCTTTCATTTTGCAAAGGTAAAGAAGTCCATGTGCTCTCACTTGTTTCATGTATCAGCGAGTAAAATCTGGCTTCTCTAAGTAAAAATGCAGTTATAAATTAACTTAATAATCTGTTTAAAATATAGAGAAAAGACCCTCCAGATATCACTTGTTGAATTTCTTCTGCAGTCTTAGACAGTATTTGATTGTGGATCAGTTCCTTCCCTCACTGGAGGACGGTCTCTGTCCAAAAGGGTGGGCTGAGAGCATTCTTCCTGGAGTCAGGCTTTGAATTGTCTCCTTAGCAGCAGGATCTCCAAAAGCAGTGCAGCTGCCTCTTTTTCCTGTGAGACTGATTACATCACCTCCTAATTGCAAATGCTGCATCCCTTAGCAGGCACAGATTCCCCACGTGATGGATGCCATGGTCCCTTCCTTTGTTTTCATCCTTGTGGGCTGGGAGCAGGCTGGGACCCACAGCTCACTCAGGGCTGTTGTGCTTGTGCTCTTTGATTTAGGTCAAATCTGATTTTTCTTAATCCATCTTCCAGTTTTAATGAAGAAACAGCATTAGTTGTATAGGAGGAGGAGGTTTCACTTGAGACTGCGAGTTGTTCTTACAGAAGTTCTGAGTGGGGAGGGTTTACACAGCAATGTGGATTTCTCTGCATGGCTGAGAAGTACCTCATACCTCATTTGTATGTGGTACCTTTTGTTTTTCAGAAAAATAAGAATAAGAAAAAGGGCAAAGATGAAAAATGTGGCTCTGAAGTGACCACTCCAGAGAACAGCTCCTCCCCAGGGATGATGGACATGCATGGTGAGTGGGAGAAGGTCAGACCCAATTCCCCTCTTACACTGCTGTGAAAGTGTAAACCAACAACCTCAGATTCTCCACTGCTCTGATGTATGGACTTGAATCAAAATGGAAAACATCATCAGATACTCACTTGGTACCTTGGACTTTTCTTCTGTAGATATACTAACAGTTGTTTAAATGCCATTTATATATGGGCTATGAGTGTAAGGGAAAAAAATTGTTAGTGGAGTTAAATATGAAAATAAAATTAGAAATAGTTACCATTCAAAGCCCTGCACTCAAGTGCAGTAATACCTCAACAGAGTTTGCTGCTTGAAGAACCAAAAATCTCCCAAAGGCCCAGTGGGACCTACTATAATTTAGGCAGGTTTTGTACTTATTAACTCTCTTACTGATTAAGGTCAAGAGAATTCTGCAAGAGCCAAGAAAGCAAGCTCTGGTTCTGTGGTGCCTTCCTTCTGCTGCAGCTTGATGAAATTAACTGCTCAAGAAAACATTTTTTTGTTTGCCAGTCAGGCACTATGAGGTCAATTTTATTTCACTTTATTTTTTTTTCTGAATGTGACTTTTGAGTGTTAGCCTGGTGTTTATTACAGAGCAGCTTGCACAGCTCAGTTCTGCTTTAGGTTTTTACCTTCTGGGTGTTTGGATAACAATTATGGCTGAGAACGCAGCACTATTTGAGCTGATAAGAGAGGATCGTTTTTTAGTGGGTTGTAAATTTTTAATTTCAGTTTTATTTGCATTTGTGCTGCCTCATGGTTGCTTTTTGCAGAGCTGACAGCAAGTGTGGTCTTGCGGGTAAAGGAATGAACAGGGGTTTTGCAGATCTGGATTCATTTTTCATCTATTTCAAAGCTTTTCACTTTTGTCTCAATCAGATAATTTAATTTTTTAAAGTCTTGATTCTCCCATCCATGAGGTGAATGTACTACTTGCTTTTTTATCACTTGTCACCTCTGTTTTTAACTGTACAATTTCACACTGTAGAATTTTGTGATCAACTTAATCTGAATTGATATCAGTCTGCTCTGGAGAGAGCAGAGTGAAATCAGACCAGAGTCTGCTCTGGTCCCAGCAGCAGCTCTGTGTTCCTGAAGTCCTTTGGATTTAATGGTTGTACAGATGCAGAGGGAGGTGGATTGACTTGAATTCTAGTAATTTAATTCCTAGTATTTTGCAGGGTTAGTTTTCTTTAGGGAGCAGGAACTTCCCTCTGGGTTATCCAGGTACGTTAGTCTGGCTTAAAGGAAGGTGCACCCCAGTCACAAGGAGAGGGCACAGGCAGAATATTTTCTGTTAACTACAGATCTGTGCTTCAGAAGATTACTGTGATCCAAGTCTTTGAGGACTAGAGAATATTCTGGACAATTATCACTTAGAAACTGTTGATATTGGGACTAGATGTTACATTTCATCTTGAAGGGGATTTGGGTTGGGTTTTTTTTCTGTCCTTCAAGACTCAATACAAAAATATCTTCTTATCTGAACATTGGAGTGATGGGTATTTGGAAACCTGCAGAATGAACTTACTTAGCCCTGTGTTATATGAGACTGCAACTTCGATTGATCTTGTTTACTCATATTACAAAATTCTGGGTTCTTCTGCATCTGAGTAAAACACTCTTTGAATTGGATTTTTAGTAACTGCTTGAAAATTCCTTTGGTGTGGAAAAAAGTTGGATGTGAGTCTAAATGATTGGACTTGATCCCTAATGAGCTAAATTATATCATGTGTTATCAGGGAAGAATATAGAATAATTAAGGTATGCTTTGTATCTTGTCAAATCAAACTTTGTTGGTTTTCACTCTTCTGTTCACAGATGACAATAGCAACCAGAGTTCAATAGCTGATGCTTCTCCAATAAAACAGGAAAACAGCAGTAATTCCAGTCCAGCACCAGAGCAGAACTTGGCAACACAAGCAGACAGCACTGAAGTCAAGTCTGACGAAACTCAGGCAGAGGCAAAGGAGCAGCCTGGTTCAGAAGGTGAGCTGGGAGGGCCATTTGAAAGCCAAACAAAAAAAGTTATTCTTTAGTGTGCTATTTATTTGCTTATCCACTTCAAGAACTGGAAAATAATAATTTGAAAGAGATGGTTTCTGAATTCTCGGCATTTATGTGAAAATGGGCCACAGTTTCTCTGACCTGCTGGTGATCTTTCATACGACTGGAAAGGTCACACTGACATTCAGGGCTCTTTTCAGAGAGAAACAAACAAAATACTGATTTATTGTTCTCAAATCTCAGTCTTGAAAGAAGAAATAATTTAAAATCATCTTTGAAATGGCTGCTACCATATAATCACACAAGTCCTGGAAGGTATTAGTTTGTGTAGATCTCTGGAAGTTGGTGCCTTAGTGTGACAGTAAAATAGAAGTGAGATGTTTTGAAATTACTTTTTTAATTGTGTAAACCATAGTGCAAGCTTTCTTTTCTCTTAACTCTGCTTGCTACTTACTCAGAAGTTAGCTCTGAGTTCTGTCCTAATTTTCTGAAAGCATTACAAGATTCTATTGCAGTTGTGGACAGATTAAAAATACATGTGGGTTAAGGGATTGTTCTGACCCTCACTCTTTAAATGGTATTTTGGGTAATTGAAACATGCTCTGTATTTATATTCTTGGGAAGATAACTTTCTTTGTCCTCTTATAACAGATAAAAGATGTCCTTAACACCATTCTAATGATTTGGTTGTGGAATTCTTCCCATACCAAAGCAATTAAATTATGCCCTCCTAATTTAGTTCCTCACTCAGTACATCCACTGACCAATTTAAATTTAGAACTTTTATCTTGGTAATGCCAGAGTGGTTAAATATGTTGTCATTATTAACTGAGGTTAAAATTTGACAACAGATCCATCACCAAATTGGAATAAATCAGAGCAAATAATACCTCTACTTGCATATTTGGCCACAGTAAACAGTAAGGATTTACTCCTTGGTCTAATATTGTCTGAACCTGCTTACATGAACCTGTCACATAGCATGCATGTTCCCCTGGTTAAATTTAAGTTCAGGGAAAATCATACCGAGTCCTCTGGCTGAGTTCCACAGCCAGGTCTTGTAGAATGAAAGGGAGACATAATGGCAAAAAAGATCTGTTATTAATGCAGGGGTTTTCAGTTGGTTAAATGCTGTGTTAAACAATTTATTAAACATTTATCTATCTTGCTTTGATCAGTCAGAGCCCTGCAATTGTGATGCTTTTTATACAGTACACCACAGAAATATCCATTACTTATTGGTTATGGCATCTTCATTAACCAAAACTGCCCAACAATTTTGTTTGATCTTGCATTTCTTTTCATATGGAATAAATTAATATAATCTTTGGGTCAGGGATCTAGGAATACATTTTACATCCCCCTGTCCCCTGTTTAAATAAATGGGTGCTTTAACCTTGGTCTTCTCTAAGTCTTGTTTTGAGAGAGAGAGAAGGATTTAAAAAAAAAAACAACAAACAAACAACCAAAAAACCCAAAACCAAACCAAAACCCGAAAGCTGGAAGCAAATAACAGCTATAATAGGCTAGAGGACTTCTTCACACCTGTCCACCAGAATTAAAAATTTAGTGGTTAAGCTAGTTAGCTGAATTTCTAAATTCTATCTCAAATATCTTATCAAGGAAGAAAAAAAAGGGATTTTAAATATATGGCTGAATTTTGATTCAGGTAACTTTATTCTCTCTGCTTAGCCCCAGGTTTTTAGATCCATTAGTTGTAACACTTCAGCCTTTTGCTTCTGGTTTGAAGGAATTCCCTTGCAGTCTGGATGGTTTGCTGAGGGCTCAGACATCCTCTTTGAGGCTGTGCAGGAGCTTGGCTCCCTCTAGGGTCTGATCCCAGGGTCTGTGCTCCAGCAGCAGGAAGGAAAAGCTCAGGCAGCAGCTGGGTTGTGATCCTGGAGTTTGAGCTTAATTAATCATTTTCATACACTTGTTGTGTGTGTTTTCATAATGCTTACAGTGTGGCTGAAATGGATGTGCTGGGGATGTTGCCAGTGGGAAGACATCCTGGAAAGCTCCTGCTGAAAGCTTTCATTTGTTTGTTTAAAATTATTTCTTGCTATTTCAGATACCTCTGATGAACAGAATTCACAGTCTTCAATGGAGAATTCCATGAATAGTTCAGAGAAAGCAGAAATTCAGTCCTCTGGAGAAAATGATTTAATTACAGAGGCATCTAAAAACTCTCAGGTAACTTTAAGTGCAAATGCCCAATTGCATGGATTTTGGAAGAGTTCATTTTTACTTAAAAGCAAATATAAGGAGGACAGTTGTGTATTTCTATTAATTTCCAAAGTGAGGACACTAAAGCAGCTGTAAAGTATTAAATGTGCCTGTTCCTGGTTTTGTGGTCCAGGTGTCTGGCTGCTTGAATCTCACAGAGTTGGAACAGTAAAACCAGATTGGTCTGATGGATTTCTTGGTTTCTTAAACCAGACCATGTTTTTTTTTAAGTGAATATTAACATTTTACATTAATAAATTGCTTGGAACAAACCTACTGGACCCTTTGAGGACCATTCAGAAGTAGAACACCTTCTGTAAAGGTAAATGTTTATGGCAGTTAGGAGAGTTAATTTGTGGATGCTTGGGTGTTTGTTTACTCATTGAAACAGTGCGAAATTCTGGGTGGGTGGGAGGAAGAAATTATCCTTGCAGTTGTGCCCTTCTCAGGGCAGGACAAGGGCAGATCCTCAGGCAGAGCCCTGCTCCTCCTGGTTTTCCTGTGGGTCCTCAATTTCAGTGCACCCTCCATCGAGGCTGTTCCTTTGGAATATTCACTGTGGGTTTTAGCCTGGAATTAGAATTTTGCTCCTTGTAGATGACAACAAATGCAAAGATGCTGAGGTAAGATGTAAATAGAGGAGTGATTTAAGGCAGCACTGAGACACATTCTGGCATCCAGGGATGCTTTTTCTGGGACACATCACACGCTGGGGAATTGGTTGGTGCTGTTTGTTTGATGTTTGTGGTGCCTGAACTTCAGTGCAATGATAACGTGGCTGTTTTTCTTTTCCCCCTCATTAAGGACTCTGAAGGAGTGCCACCTTCTAAAAAGATGAAAGTAGAGGCTTCCCAACAAAATGTTGAAGAGATTTAGACTATAGATTTTTCTGGTCAGTTTTTATGTAAGGTACATCAGTGGGCTTAATTATAGAACAACCTTACTTAAGCATCTTCTCTTGGATGAGGACAGAACTCCTAACTTTTCAAGTTACCAAGCAAAAATCCAAGAAAGCCTAACAAAGGTTTAACTTCTCAGACACTGAAAACTTTTTCCTGTGAAACAAACATTGAGAACTTTTAAGTTACTGTCTCTGAATTGGTTGGAGTAAACAACTCAGGAGGGGTCTACGCACTGTTTCTAAAGTCAAAATTACAATTATGTTGCTGCTGTATTTTTTTTTTTTCATTTCTCTATTTAACATTGTAAGATATTTAAGGATGGTACAGGTCAGGTATTAGCTTTCATGTGAAGTTCATTGTTCTGGCGTGATGTCTGCTTTTGTTTTGTGCCTTGTGTTCTGAAAACAGTGCTAACTTTTAAAAGTTGTTTTGCAACTGTCTCCTTTGCAAAGTGGCCTATGTTTGCATAATGCCATGTAGTAAGGCTTTTTTTTCTTTTTTCTTTTTTTTTGTTTTTTTTTTGTTTGGGGTTTTTGTTTTGTTTTTAATTTTTAAATCCCTGGTGCTCAAATTTTTAAACAACTACAAATCAGGAAGCCATTTTCACTCTTGGAGTCCAAGGAGAAAAAGGAGCTTGATGTTTTATTTTAGCAGCTATAGTGGAGATCTTTTATTGAATGCATGGCATTCGCAACTGTAAATTTGGTCTTCTAAATACTTAACTTCATCAGAAGTTAACATGATCTGTTTACCATTTATAGTCCAGATCTGAACAGATATTATAACACAGGCACTTAAAATACTTACGTATTAGGTCCAGATCTCTGTACTGGGTACAACTTGCTTTACAGGAAAGTTCCACTATGTACATAAATAGGATCAAAGGGATTGATGCACAGTGAGTTTATTTTCAATTGGTCTTTTTTGATATCATGTTTTCACTGAACTGGATTTCATTGTACTGTTTCATTATGAGATGTTTACTTCTATGTTCCAGGAAGATACTGTATTGGGGGGGAGGGGTTTCCTTATTCTCTTTCAACAAGTCTTGTAAATAAGCCTTGTTGTTTCCATAGTCCAGTTCCTAACTCCAGTTAGGAATGTTCCTTCTCTTCCAATTAACATTGAAGTGTGCTTATGCTAAACTAATGGAAAGGCACAAGGTAGGTGCAGCTCCCCTCAAATTCCTGGCTAGCAGAAGTGTGGAACCATCTGCATCAGGTCAAGAGGGTCTGGTCTTCCAGTGGTGTTTGTACTTCCAGGGAATAAACCCTGATCTCCCACTTCCATGCACACACATCCATCCATGTGTCCATCCGTGCTGCTGGATCGGGCCCTTGCTCTGTCTTCTCCTGCTGTGGGAGATGGAACTTGCAATTTAAAATGCGATCTCACAGCTCTGGAAATGGTTGCGTGTAGTTTGTAAGCTGAAAAACTGTAAATACTTTTTTAGATGAGAAAAAAAAAAAAAAAAGAGTTGCTTCCAGTTGATAACGTTTTTTTCGTAAATTAGGTTTGTGAAGCTTATACAGGTCTGAATTCTCCAATAGTGAAAATGGCTTGCACTTAGACTACTGCATTAAGTTTGCAATTACCACTTTATTAGGAAAAATAATGAGGAACTGGGGGGAGGGAAAAGGGGAGGGAGCAGTGGGGAGCCAATACTGACCTTCAGTAAGATGTTTGTAGGATTGAACCCCAAATAACCTATGACACTCAGCTTTTCCTTTATGTTGAAATAAAACATTTTGGATTTAACTGAATAAAATTTGATTGCAAATCATTCATGAAAACAGCGTGCTCCCTAATAAGATTTTGGGATTTCTGGTCTAATCATGAAGTCCATTAACATTCTGAAAATAAGGAAATGAGGAGCCAAAAAACTGAATTTGCACAATATATGCAATGAAACGGTAGAATTCTCTCTTGAACTGTGTGTATGCCTAAAATGTGGATAACTGGTCCATGATGATTGATTTGTATGTATATTACATTCAGATTTAAGTGATATTTTGTGAGAAGTTCTATTGATATATTAAATGGGCAAATCTAGAAAGATTCAAACTTTTAAATATTTTTGATTTACTAACTTTTCATTATTCTTAATGCTAAAACAAAACAAATTGATGCCACCTTTGACAAGTAGTCGTGTTTACTAATCCCTCTCTTCAGGTGCATCGCAGCAAGTTTTTAATTTTCATTTTGTAGATGTTTCCAAGGGATTAAATAGACTTTTCATTTAGGAACTAGTTCCTGTGCTTTAGGAAGAAATAAAATATATAAATAGCACTAAAAATACCTCAAATTTTTCATTAGATAGAAGCATTTATTGGCATTATTGACATCAACAGGTTTAATTATAAACTTCCTTTTCTCTCCTGTGGCTTCTGCTCAGAACTGTTCATTGTTCTGTGGCTAATGAGACAAGGCATCATAACCATCTTCCTAGAGGCTTTATTTCTGAGGTAGAAATCCTTCATTTACAGCTTCTACAGAATGCATTCAGATCTTTTATTTTAACCAGAGATTCTAGTGACAACAGACAACTGAACAAGCAGATAGATTTGGGTTCCTTAGACCTGTTATTGTCAGTCTCTGAGGGAAGAGACTTTGACATTATCTGGTATGAAGAAATCCAAAATAGTGTATAAGACTGTTATTAGTCTTTTTTTGAAGTGCCTGATAACATTTATGGGCCAACGGATGTGATTGAACACATTTTAATGCCAGAAAGTACAGATGGGACCAAACCAGAACATGGAATTCAAATCCACTGAGGTTTGAAACCAGATCTAAATCCAGCTTTTTTTGGCTTGGACCTATCTCTACCCAAAACTTGTTTTATGAACTCACTGTAAAAGGGTTTATTGAAAGCATTGAGAGGTGGAGCAGGAGGAGAGATGTAATTTTTTTCAAGATGACTGAAAGTTCTCATACAGCTGATGTTTTAGAAATAGTGCAAATATCAAGAAGTGCTTCCTTGCTACAATGCTGAATGTTGGAGCTTCAGTTACAAATAAATAAATAAATAAAAATTAACAAAAAAATATGAAAAAAAAAAAAAAGAAACTAGAAGCAAGCAAGTAATTTAGCTGAGTTTGTGGAACATGTGGAAAGGCCTTCCGGATAATCAATTTACTCAGCCAAACATTTTATAGCAGAACTATTCCTTGGAATTTTTATGCTTGGGAAAGTAATTGTTAAACATTCCAAAAAGTGCTGGCACTTACAAAACAACAACAAAAAATAAAATCAACAAGGCAGTATAAAATATCGGTTTTGGGTGGCTATCTTCATAAGCATTGTCATGTTTTGGAATGTTCTTTATCTCTAAGGGCCTGTTAGAAGGTGTAAAGAATTTTGTTTTCTTCAATACCTAATCGTTTTCCATCTTATGATTTGTGTGTGTGTGTTGTACAGCAGTATAATTTTTCACTTATTTATTCCATCGGTAGTTATGGTTTGTACAATGTACAATGGTTTCATTTCAAAATAAAATAAAAAATCACAACATGAATGCTGTGTGAATAATTTTTATACAGAAATTAATCGCAGTTTGGTTCATTTTGTTTTTTTGTTTTTTTTTAATTTCCAATAAATTTCTGTTTTTATAAATGGTATTTTTAAATGTGCATTCTCTGGTGTTGTCTCGTTTGGTAATGCATAAAATTATCCACCTTTGAGAAGTCCAAAGGTGTCTTGATAATAGTTTGGTGGGGCAAGGGCAGGTGGTGGTTGTAAGAACTACAAACAGATATGACCAGTGTAATTACAGCAATCTGCAGAATAATTTGGTAATTTAAGATAATTCATTTACCAAATTCCTCATTTGTTGCTCGGTTAACATGTTGTGGTACCTTAAGTTGGAGGGGGTAGGGAAGGCAGAGTGTGGAAATGAGCTCGAGTCCAATGCATGCAAGGGTAAAACTCCTGAAGAGTTTTGGAAAGATTCTTTACATTCAAGATGGATATAAAGTGTCCAGCTTATTTTTAGTGTTCAGTGTGCTCTGTCCCAAGGTGGCCTGCAGTTCCACAGGCAGCTGGACTGCTCTGCTGGCTCTGGCTCCCAGCAGGACGAGCCCCAGCCTGCTCCCACCTTGACTCTGTTGCCTCCCTCACATTTAGCAGGGTGCTTGTAACATCTTTACCAGCCCCTTTATACTCGCTAACCTGGGAAGGAAACTGGTTTAGTTTGGTTTTTTCCCTTCTCCAGATTAGTGAATTAAACCAGGAGACATGTATCAAGGAGTTCCATACGGGGTGGAACTGGAGAGAGAGGAAAGGACAAGTAGAAGCAAGGCTGTAACTCAAGATGGGTCCCAGAAGGAAAGGCCTCTGAACAGGTAAGGCTTGTGCCAGGGAGTGAGCAGTGGCAGCCTGGAGCAGGGCACGGCTGGAGGTTGTCCCTGTGGTTTCCTGGGAGCAGGATTGGCATGGAATGGGGCACGGCTGGGCTGGACTCCTGCACTCAGCCCTGGCCCAGGCTGTGAGTAAGATCCCTTGGACTCTTTCCCTCATCAGTATGGGAATGCTTATCTTCCTGTCTGTAGATTTGGGAGGATAATCTCACCACTAAGTGGTGTGGAATACACCGTGGGCATTGAACAGCTTGGATGTCTCTGTTCACAGTGTGTATTACAGTCGAACTCCTCCTGTGCTAAAAGCTTATTTAAAGGAATTGATGTTGTTCCTTGAAGGTACATCATCAGAAACAGGTGGCTTGTTTCACCTCGAGCTGTGGATTGATGAAAAAACAGAAAAGACATACTCAAAAAGATGCTGTGGCCTGGAATTCCTTGCTGTGGAGCAGGAGAGGATCACTGGCAGTCTTGGTCTGTTACTGATCACCTGAATGCTCATCTTAAAAGGGCAAACCAAGGGGTCTGTCTCCAAAATGAGTGGATTTATTTTAAGGAATGCCCCTTTCCTTGCATCTGGCCAAGGAGAAAACCCTGAACTTAGGTTGTAGCTTGAAGCTGCTGTCCTTTCTTTAAATGATGGTGTACTCCTATCTCTTCCTAGGAAATTGCACTGCAACCTAATTATTTTATTTTAACAAGTTACCGGTCTTTTCCTGCAGGAGGAAACAATGGCTTAGAATTTAGTGAGGTCAGTGTACAGGCTGTTGCCATGGAAATACTTTATACAGTGCTGCTACTGATATGATATTTTTTTTTAGCTCAGGTTTAGTTCTTAATAAACTATATGGAAGAGTTTTACTAGGTATTGTTAAACTGTGAATGTTGTTTTGAAATGTTTTAGGGGTTTTTTTGTACTTAAAATATTCTCAGAATGTCTTGCTGGGAGACAGCACTTTTTTTTCTTCAGAATTTGAGTCATGTATGATGCTGACTAAGAGCTGAATGCTAGTTTTGATTTTTAAAGATCTGAGACAGCTCTCACTTGACGTGGTCATTCCTTACTGTTGCTTTCATGTGTGGGGAAGTGTTTGACCTACTACTCCTTCCCTAAACACAGGGATCAGCCTTGATTCCATGCTAATGGGGAATGTCAGATCACTGCATGGGCGTAATTGGGATATTGCAGGGATGCCTCTTCTCTCCTTGCCCAAGACTTGCTCTGAATCTCTTAAGTCTCCCTTGATCTTATTTCTGGTTTAACACACCAGAAAAAGTAGCATATGGCTGTTCAATGTTTGGAAGCTTTTTCCCTCCTGAGGGTGGCTATTTTTTCATTTTAAGTGTGAGGCCCTAAAACTGAAATAATATATTAAATTTTGTACAAATGCTTTGGAATGTGTGTCATAGGGCCCAACTACTCCCCTGGTTGTGGAGGTTTGGACTGCAGGGCAAGTTTGAGATATTTACTCTTGACTTTGTGTACGCATACATATGTGTATGGGGGGTTTTGTGCTGTGGGATGATGCTCTCTCCCCATACCAGCCATGTTGCTATGCTTTTATGTTAACCTACAGGATCCATTGCTTCCTTTATGCTTTTGAGAAGGATTAAATCTGACCTTTACTTCCACTGGAACAATTGTGGTTCCTTTTTATGTGCCACTGAGCAGGTACTGAGTTAGGTGTGAGCCACCAGCCTGGCAGCAGAAGCTCCATGTCCCGACCTCTCTATGACTCTGCAGGCTTCCTGCTGACTGCTTCTAGAAAATAATAAGCAGTTTAGTGTATTAACGATAATTTAAGTATTTCTAGCACAATTGCTCTGTCAACATTCTTCAGCCATTTCTGGGCTGTCCTCTACATCTCGTGTTCCTCACAGTCCCTTAAGTTTGGGAATGTTTTCCATAATCATTAGAGCTGGAAGGGGCCTCTGGAGATCACGGAGTCCAACCCCCTGCCCAGGCAGGGTCACCTGTAGCCGGTGACACAGGAACGCATCCAGGTGTGTTTGGAACGGGAGAATCCACGGCCTCCCTGGGCAGCTCCAGTGCTCTGCCACCCTCAGCGTGAAGCAGCTGTTCATCATATTGAGGTGGAACATTTCGTGGTTCAGTTTGGTTTAAAAAAAAAAAAAAAATTCTGCTGGATGGAAGTCCCCTCTGGATCACTTAAACCAGCCATCCTCAGAAGGATGAGGGACATTACTGGCACAGCACAGGGCAGCGGCAGCAGCGCCTCTCCCTTTTCTCCCCTTTCCCTTTTTTTTAGTGATCCTGGCGGAGTCTCGGGGTGTGCCCCGTTCCCCGGCGGGGGCAGGGCGGCGGCGGGGCCGCTCCGTCGCCTTTAAGCGCGGCGGGGGCCGGCGCGGGGCGGAGCGGGGCGGTGGCGGCGCAGAGCGGGCGCGGGCTCGGCCGCGGCGGCAGCGGGGCCATGGCCGCCGACGTGTTCATGCGGCCGGCGCGGCTGCTCGGGGCGGCGGGGCCGCTGTCCCCCCGCACGGAGCCCGACGAGGACTCGTCGGACACGGACGATGGCGGAACGTCGCCGGGCGGGGGGCGGCGGTGCGGGCCGCGGCGGGGGCAGCCCCCGGGCCCGCAGATCATCCACTCGGGGCACTTCATGGTCTCGTCGCCGCACAGCGAGCACCCGCCCAAGAAGGGCTACGACTTCGACACGGTCAACGAGCAGACCTGCCAGACCTACCAGTTCGGGGCGGCCCGCGGCGGCGGCGGTGCCTGCGGCCGCCTCAGCATCGACGCGTCCCTCACGAAGCTGTTCGAGTGCATGTCGCTGGCCTACAGGTACCGCCGGCAGCGATCCCGGCCGGGCTGGGCGGGGGGACCGGCACCGTGTGAGGGGAGCGGGGACCCCCCGGCCCATAGGCGGGAGTTCGGTGCCGCTTTTGTTTTCAGCGAATTGGGGCTCCGGGCCGGCCCTTCCCGCAGGCCCGGGGCCGTGGCTGGGGGCGAGCCGGGGTGTCGCTGCCCCCGCCGTGAGGGCTGAGGGCTGAGGGCTGAGGTCCCGCCCGCCCCGCCGGCTGCTGGTGCCGCTGGAAGCCCTCAGCATCCCGCGGCCAGGCTGGGAGCGAGTGGAAGCCTCTAGTGCTAAACAGAAGCCCTTAAAGGGCAAAGTGCCCCGCTCGATGTGAAACCCGGCCAATTTTCCTTTTTCCCCTCCCCAAATTTTATTTTTATAACAAAGTCAAGCAAGCGGGCTCTGTCGCTGTTTCCTTTGTTCCTGTGGTGGCTGCAGCTGGCAGCAGCACTTCCTGGGTTTATCTGCACCTTTTGCTCTGACTTCACTTGTGCTTTTCATCTCTTCAATAAGGCGTTATATTCCCATTTATCCCCTTTGTCTATCATCCAAAATGGAGGCAGAGCTGTGGAGTAGAAGTGTTTTGGAAAGATGTGTGTCTGCTCAGTCTTTTGTTCCGTGTGATATTGCAGAAACCGGATCCAATCTGATGTTCTCTGCTGAGTGTATTTTGGAAGTTGATTAAAAGGGTTGATGGCAAATGCCTCTTGGCATATCAACAGAAATATTTATTTTCATCTATAGGAGCCATGTTAGCTTGCTAGAAGAAAATTAACTTTGCCCACCCAAAATATATCTATTTAAGTATTACTCAATAATGAGGAAACCATAGAACTATCTATTCTGTACAGTAGCTAGAAGCTGTAATGTAAGTGATATTAAAATTCTGATAATATTGGCCAAGAACGTTATTAGTTATTGGCAAGAGACTGAACCCCAGATAAGATTTGTACAACAGTGGACCTAAGTACTTTGCACTTAAAAAAAAAAAAAAAAAGCCTTTTATTGTACAAGCTGGGAGGAACTTGCAAAGGAACCGCAGGGATTGTGAAGGCCAGAACTGGACTGCTCACGTACATCTGCTCCTCAGCCTCTATCACCTTTGTTTTATTTTGTGCTTCCACTCGTATGTTATTGGGATTTTGAAACTGAGGCTCACATCTGGTGCAAAGGAATAGTTCTGTTACACTGACTGACAGTACTGAGCTCTGATGTAGGTGAATAAATTGAGCACCAAATTTATTTCACAATAAATAATTTTATCCTGCCTGCTGGTGGTAGCATGAGGCAAGGTGCAGAAAATATCTTCTTAGGAGCTGCCAAAGAAAAGCACATTCTTAATC